TAGTCATGTACAAACGTATCCTCGTTTTTGTTCCTTGAATCTGGATACATGTGCATCCTTTCAAAGCTTGAAGAAAAAGATCATATGGTAGTTATTGGAAAGAAACGGCAAGAAAAATACAAGATTAAAATCCAAGAATCTTACAATGCACGTGCAACTGCTTGGATAGCTTCAAACAAACGCCTCTCATTATCCGAATAAATGACTTTGTCACGATATTTCCCCCACATATCATAGAACTTGGAACGAAGCTCATCTATATCATTTATCTCCTATTTTTGATTGCAAAAAGATATTAGATTATAATTATCACAGGTCCGCATGTGCTAAACACATGACAATACCGCTTCATATTCGTCCATTATTTCTCCGAGGAAACTGGGTGGAGTTTGTTGCCTTGGCTGACGTATAGAAATACGCCATTTTCGTTCATCATCTATATCTAAGTACAAAGGTTTTTTCATTGTTGTTGAGTCAATAAACATGATATTGTGAAGGGACCTATAATAAAAAGAATTTGTTAGATAATCAGACATCCTTAGGATGTAAATCAATCATACTCAATTATACTTACAAGATCGCCTCACTGCTTGATGCAAAGTTAAAAGTTTCGCCAGCTACTAGTTTGTCAATATTACTAATTTGATATTTGCGAAATCCGTCCGAAACATTGTAGTCCTCAATAAACCACTAAAAGGGCAAAGCAATGATCAATACAGAATTTTTTTTTCCTGAAACTGATGCGGATCCGTGGTTAACTTACATCCTTCTATGAAGAATAGTCACATAGATCCCGACGTATTCTTAGATACCTGTCATGCATCATTTTTGTGTCAGTCATGATATCTCCATCCTACGCATATAGATTAAGTTAGTCATTGGAAAGGCCAAAAAGAATATCTGTTTTAACGACTCATCATTTCTATAACTTGTTCATTTACCTTATTTACAATTATCGGGGGAATCGTTTCTGTGTCTTCTAGTTCCTGATTAGGAGGAGACGATGATGATTCTTCGTCATTATCGTTACAGGTTGATTTCGCTTCCGTCTCATTGGTGGTACTAATTGTACTGATCTGTGAAAGGTGAGAAGACATTTTTTGTTGTGTGAAAAATACAACTATCTCATTTTCCGAAGTTTCTTGTACCGCACACAAAGGAGAGATAACATTATTTTGATCTTCTATTATTGGCTTTTCGTTTTCTTCACTATAGTCATCAGATAAATCTTCTATTATTGGCTTTTCGTTTTCTTCAAGCTTTGAAAGGATGCACATGTATCCAGATTCAAGGAACAAAAACGAGGATACGTTTGTACATGACTA